CACCATCCCCAAAGAAGATTCTGCGACACCATCCAGGACCAGATGACCCATCATTCCTCACAGGCTCTTACCTGGCAAGTGACCCTCCAATTTTGCTCAGGTTTTTTAATATTTTCAGGTGAAATGGACATGGAATGATGAGGGAGTCATCAATTCTACTGTCTGGGATGGGAAATCCTCGAGAGCCACTCTCTATTTACGAACCCTGGACCTCCTCCTATACCCACCCTCATCAACACAACTTTCCATCTACTCTCTAACATCAATCCCTTTTCTACATCCTGCTGGATTTTTCTGTCACTGACTCGAACCCTCATCATAGCCACTCAATTCCAACCCATTGGACCGTCTAACTAAACTCTCTCTAGAAATTCGCAGCTCCTGTCTGAACCTCCTGCCCCTGGCCCCGACCACAAATCCGGCTACACCAAGGAGCCCCACTTTCTTAAGCCCTTTTGACCCTTCTTGCTCAATCACTGTCTCCTTACTGATCCCCCTCCCCTGGGTACTTATCTTCCATATCTTACCCAGGCAATTGCTCCAAGAACAGGTTTCTGCCCAAGCCAGAGCCGACCGACCAGGACTCCCAAGGACCAACCCTTCACCCTGGTGACTCGGTCCTCCTTAAGAACCTACAACCACAAGCCTTGGAGCCTAGGTGGATGGGACCTCACACTGTAATCCTCACAGCCCCCACTGCGGCCAAGCTGCTTGGCGACCCCAGCTTGACGACCTGTCCTGGCACCACCTCTCCAGACTCAAGAGGACCCCGGAGCAGCATGACTTCTATAAATGTGAGGTGTTGGGCCCCACTAAGGTCAGCCTTAGCCGCCCTCCCCCTCCTCCTTCTCCTCCCGGCCCTGTGCAACCTACACCCACCCCCACCTGCTTATGTGTGCAGTTTCAAGGTCTATGAAACCTACTACCAGACGGCAAACAAGTCACCCAGCAGCGGAACCCAGACAGGTGTAATCAAGATGTCAATACCTATGGGGGTTGCCACTGGAAAGACTGTGTCATACCACACCGCAGCCAGTCTCACCAAGGCCAGCCCAGGTACCTTCTTTTGGTGCAACAGCACCTTAAGCAACTGCATGAACTCCTCTGACCCCGGGCCTTGCTTTGTGGTCACAGTAGTTCCCCAACTAACCTTATATGGAGAGTCGGAGCTCGCCTGGGTGCTCCCTCCATCCCGCCCCCGGACACGCCGGGCCACCTTCCTCCCTGTCATGTTAGGGGTGAGTATCGCTGCCTCAGTAGGCCTCACTGGAGGGCCCTCGGGAACAGTCTGGTCACTGCTCAGTACTTTAATGACAAGCTCCAGTTAGCCCTGGAGTCTACTACCGCCTCTTTTTAGCCTCCCTACAGTGGCAAGTGACATCAGTAGCCCAGGTAGCCCGACAGAACGAGCGCGCCTCAGACCTTTTAACTGAAGAAAAAAGGAGGAACCTGCATATTCCTTCAGGAAGAATGCTGCTACTACATCAACCAGTCTGGAGTAGTGGAGCAAAACGTACAGACCCTGACTAAGCTGAGTGAAGAACTACATGCAAGACACTCCCAGGACAACTCTCCTTTTGGCTGGCTCCAAAGCCCCTTAGCTACCTGGGTCCTGCCCATGATAGGGCCCCTGATTCTCATCTGTGTCTTTTTTCTCCTAGCCCCCTGCCTCCTCAAGTTCATCCACTCCCGGATCACGGAGATGTCACGGGTGACTGTGAATCAGCTCCTGCTCCATCCCTACACTCGGCTGCCCTCCGATCTACCTCTGCCTAACCCTGGCCTTTAACTCCCCCCCCCCCCACCACCACCACCACCAACGTCCCTGGCCAGCTGGAAGTAGTCAGAACGAGTGGGCATCCCCTATCACCAAAAAGACCAGGATGTTAGGGTCGGAGAGAGCCCAGGATCAGATACATGCAGATGTGTGACGAAGATAATGGACTCCTCCTGGCATTCTAAACAGATCAGCGTGCCAGACACAGATACTGGCTTCTCCCTGGAACCCACACGACCCCCACACAGATACTGACTCCTTCCTGAATACCTTGCTGACCCCCTGCAGCTGAAACTTCCCCAGCTGAATACCTCAGCTCATGTCTCCGCCCTTCACCCAACCGCAGTACAAAAAAAAGCGCCCCCCTCCCTGTTGGCGTGAATCCACATGCCCTGTCTTTGGGGTACATGGGTCTCCCAGGGACGCAATAAACCTTTCCTTTTCTTTTCTGATTCACTTGACTCTTTATTTCTTTTTATATATATATATATATTTTATTGATTTTTTACAGAGAGGAAGGGAGAGGGACAGAGAGTTAGAAACATCAATCAGTTGCCTCCTGCACACCCCCTACTGGGGATGTGCCCGCAACCAAGGTCCATGCCCTTGACTGGAATCGAACCTGGGACCCTTCAGTCCTCAGGCCGATGCTCTATCCACTGAGCCAAACCAGTTAGGGCGACTCTTTATTTCTTACGCCACCTCCTGAGCCACTTAACCTAACACTTCCTGGTTCGCAAACTGATTAAATACCTGCGTTCAAATATTTGGTAGACCATTTAACAATGATATCTTAACATCTGGCTTCATCTATAAAAATAGACCTACTACAAAACATATAGGATTGTTGAAAGTATTTGCCAAGTATCTGAAACTGGCACAGGTTTACTAAAAGACTTTTATTTTTTAGGGGGGGGGGGGGAAATGGAGTGGACCAGTTTAGTTCCTTAGCTATACTCTCGCCATGTTTCTACCATTCACTTAAAAATTGATTTTTTAAATTATTAAATACTTGGAAGGATGTAGATAAAAGGCTGTGTGTACATCTGATTTTTAAGAAAATAAGCATTACCGCCCCCCCCCAAAAAAAATAGAAAATAAGCATTGCAGTTGGGGACCCCCTTATACCCTTTCTCAGTCCTATTTCCCTCCATCAAAGGTAACCACTATCATAAATTGGTTGTTTAATTTCTTAGTACCTATTTTACGTACCCCAAAAAAGGTAGCATTCTGCAAGTTTGGAAACTTTAAATAAAATTGTATATTATACATTATAAAAAAAGAATAAACTAGATGTAGTAACTTGGAGCAATGTGCATGAAATATTAGGTGACAAAAGGCGTGGTTATTTTTTAACTAGAGGCCCAATGCACAAAATTTGTGCAAGGGACTTGGCCCCCGCTGCCTTGGCCCCCGCCCGCTGCAGCGGCCGCCTTGGCCCTCGCAGCCCCGGCTTCATCCAGAAGGTGTTCCGGGAGACTGTCTGGTCTAATTAGCATATTACGCTTTTATTATTATAGATATTTGTCCTTATATATGTTTGTAGGAAGTGGAATATATGGTTTAGAACTTAATCTCTGGAGCTAGGAAACCTGTGGCTAAACCCTGGTGTCACCATCTTCAAAGGGAGAAAATGCCTCTGGGCTTGTTTCCCTGGCTGTAAAAGGGGGTTAGTAATAACATCTACCTCACAAACCTGCTGGGAGCAGATGATGAGGTAATTCAGGAAAAATGCTTAGAGATGCCTGGTGTGCCATTCTGTGATATCGTGGGTATAAGCATGATCTACCTGAGCATGGAAAATATGGTGGAAGAAAACATTCCACACTGTTCTCATTGGTGACCTCAGGTGGGCAGAGCTGGAGAAAGTAGGACACAGGTGATTAACATTTTGCATCAATTCAACTTCTTAAAGCTAGCATGTGTTATTTTTGTCATTTTCTTCATGGTGTTTTGTTTCTTTTTTTATGTATTGGTTTTGGGTGTACAGCTTAGTGGTTAGACAATCATATACTTTACATCGTGTTCCTACATAGTTATGACCATATTATTGATTATATTCCCTATGCTTTCCTTCTGCCCCCCTGACTATTTTGTAACTACCAGTTTGTGCTTCTTAGTCCCTTCACCTCTTTCACCCAGTGCCCCAAACCTTTTGTCGTTTTTTAAAATACATTTTTTATTGATTTCAGAGAGGAAGAGAAAGAGAGAAAAACATCAATGATGAGAATCATTGATTGGCTACCTCCTGCACACCTCCCTCCAGAGATTGAGCCCATAAGGGCATGTGCCCTGACCAGGGATGGAATCAAACCATGACCTATTGGTTCATAGGTCGATGCTCAACCACTGAGCCATGCCAGCCAGGCTGTCTTATTCTCCCCCTGCCCCCGCCCCACCCCCCAAAGTAGCAGGAAAGGAAGATGAGCAAACTAGGCAATCTGCTCTGAGCTCACCACGTGCTCTAGGAGGGAGTGGGAAAAGGGTCCTGGTGAGAACAGAAGCCCCAGGAAAGCCTTCTCCCCAACAGGTGGTCCCAAGCCATTGGCTGGCGCTGGGCCAACAACTGTTCCTCTCCGGCCCACAGATCCCCTCCTGTGCAGCATGGAGCTGGGAGGGGCACCCACGTAAAGCATGTTGCTTACTACCAGGACAGATAGGAATTCAACGCCCAGTGGTGCTTACCTGGCACTATGAGTCAGGCATCCTCTGAGAGCCCAACGCTGTCAACCCATGTAATCCCACACTGACGCTCTTTTAAAATCCCATCCCCATTTTGCAGGTGGGGAAAACTGAGGCACAGAAAGGTTAGGTCACTTGCCTGAGCCCACACACTGGGTTGTGGCCGGAATTCAGCTGCAGGCAGCCTGGCTCTGAATCCAGGCTCTGGGCCCCCAGGCTCAGACATGTACCCTGTCTCCCCAACATGACTTCCCTTCTCCCAGCCTCGGTGTACTCAACTGTGGAATGGGCTTCTCAGTACTCACCTCCGCGGTTTGCTGAAAGGGTTACATGACTTGGGCTTGGGGTTGGGGGTGGGGGTGGGAGAACTAAAACAAAGGGCAGCCTGTTGCAGTCTCTGCGGGAAGGAGGAAGTGGCCTGGGGCCTCTCTCCGGAGAGGTGTGCAATGCCCCACGGGGAGGAGACAAGCGGGCAAGGATCCAGGCCCTGGGTCTTCCAGAAACCACAGGGCAAAGTGCCCAGGGGCCGGTGCGCCTCTCCCCGCCCCCACTCTCAGCTGAGGGGCCCCTTGACTTTCTTCGGGGTTCCCCTTCCCCGCTTCCCTCTGGCCCAACCACTCGCGTCCTGTGGCAGCCCGGCCAGAGAAGGAAGCAGAGTCCGGGCTCCCTGTAACCTGCCAGGGTGTGAAGCAAGGCTTTCCCCGCCCTGAGGCCCCAGCATAAAAGGCAGCCCCGGGCACCCCTGCGCTCCTAGCCGACCCTGTGCGCCCTGCTCGCCATGTCCCGGCTCTGCGCGCTGCTCGCCTGGGCCCTGCTCGCCCTCCAGGGACTCGGGAAGGAGGCGACAGAAGACGAGGCCTGCTGCGGCCCCATTGTGCCCCGGAGAGAGTGGAGGGCCCTGGCGTCCGAGTGCGCCCAGGAATTGAAACTGCCGGCGCGCTACGTGGTGGTGTCGCACACGGCGGGCAGTCACTGCGACACCCCCGCCTTGTGCCTGCAGCAAGCGCAGAACGTGCAGCACTACCACGCGCGGACACTGGGCTTCTGCGACGTGGGCTACAAGTAAGTGCGGGGAGCGGGAGGGGGGCGGGGCCTGGGAGACAGCGGGACCCCCCTCCCCCTCAAGCCCTCCATCCCCCACCCCGGCCTTGGAGCCGCCCCGCTGACACCTGCGCAGCTTCCTCCCCGGGTTCTCCCCTCACCATAGAGGGCTGGGGGCGTGCAGGCAGCACAGGATGCTAGGAGGGGGGGAAGGGCTCAAGTTCAAATTCAGCTCCCTGGAGGAAGGGACAGGCTTTGCCAACACACACACACACACACACACACACACACACACACACACACACACACACGAAAGTGTCCGGTGCCTGTGTTAGGAGGCTGGTGCCGGTCCCCCAGCTCTGCTGTGGCTGCCTGAGGCCGGGCCAGGCTGTCACCCTCGCTCAGCCTCCTCCTCTGCAGTCAGGGGGCTGGTCCACCTGATCATTGAACCCACACACGCAAAGCACTTAGGACACCCTCTGGCATGTAGCGGGAGCCCCAAATCCGTGGGCCATGCCATTAGGCACCTGCCACACGCCGGGCCACGTGCTGAATGCTGGGGTGGGATTGAGCCCGACTGGATTTCGAGGCCGGCAGGGAGAAACACAGGCAGCACAATGAACTCGGATGGTGATAGGAGTGATGAACAAGAGTGATTGTGGGGGACCTCAGAAGCTGGGCTCCTTCTGAAGGGCAGGCTGAGGGACCGGCTTCTGTTATGGTGGCTCTGAGGTGGGCTGGGGTGCGGGTGCTGAGGTAGTAACCTAGGGGTAGGCAGAGGGGAAGGCTAGGAGGGGGAGTGAGCCCATGGTGCCTGAAGGCCAGAGCTCAGGGCGTGGAGGTAGCTGGGAGGAGTGATATGCAATGAGGGAAGCCATGGGAGGAGCCAGGTGACAGGACCTGTCCCTCCCTGAGGACTCCGGCTGTACTGAGGCAGGCAGGAGCCAAGGGAGGGAGGGAGCCTCCTTAGATACAAGAAGCCCCCGGAAATCAGGGCAGAAGCAAGGCGGGGACTGCTCAGACCTGCCTCTGGGGCCCGTGCCCACCACCGACCGTTCCAGGGTAACAGGGTAACAGGCAGAGGCCCAGCTCCAACAGGTTCGGAGATTCGGTGAGCACCGGAATCGCCTTACGGAAATGCAGGCCCCCAGCTCCCCCTTAGGGGGCTTCAGCGGGGGGCTGTGGTGAGGCCCGGGAATCTGGGAACCTCACTTGGAGAACTCTAGAAGCTTCCAAGAGCATCCAGCTCAAGAGTTTACCATTCACAGGTTCAGCGTAAAGGTTTTGTTTCCACGTGTCCGGATTCTCCGTGTTCCCGGGAGTAATGATCAGAGCCTGGCCCCATGGCCTCTGGCCTGACCACCTCACAGGAAAGCATGTTCCTCCGAAGTCTATTTCTCAGATTTGGGGATTCAGAGTCTGATTCAAATGCCCTGAACCCTCCTTCCTTCCGCATGGCGTCCTCTCTCTCCTCTCTCCTCTCTCCTCTTCTCCTTCTCTCTCTCCCTCTCTCTCTCTCTCTCTCTCTCTCTCTCTCTCTCTCTCTCTCTCTCTTCCTCAGTTCTTCACCTGTAAACTGGGGCTCTGAGTGCACCACCTGGTGGTGGCAGTGGAGGTTTCAATCAGATGCATCCTTCTAACAAATAACACGAGGAGCACCCACCGCCTATGCCATGTGCGGGGGACACAGCAGGGCCGGCACTGGCCCAGTCCCGAGGGCCACTATGATATTGCTGGTCTCTTCAGAGCCAGATTCTGAGAGTCTGGCTTCCTGAGTGGCAGATTCAGGACCTGAGATCCGGTAGTTCCGACATGGGGGGCTGAGGCAGCAGGTCATGCTTCTCTAAAGACGCTGACCTTCTAGTTAATTCCAATGTGCCAGGTCAGACTCGCTCAATCAAGACATGTTGAATGAGAAAGTCTTAAGGACCTGCCAGAATTGGGAACCTCAGAGGCAGGTGCTGGGGCTCCAGGGTCCGTGTCTGGTTGTGGCCCCAGCCCTTCAGTCCCTGGTCCTGACCCCCAGCAGGCAACAGGAAGCAGGAGGCAGGCTGGGGTGAGGGCTTTGAGCTTCTCAGTGGAGATTTCTGAGGCAGGGGCCTCTGGGGCATGACCTTGAGCCATCACCTCTCTTTCTAAGTCTGCTTCCTCAGCTTCAAGGGGGTGGTGACAGCAGTGCCTGCCTCAGAGGACCTCACGTGAGGACTCAGCAGATCGAGCTCAACACATCCTCCAGGAGGCAGGAGAGAGCAAGGCCTCAGATCCTGGGGGTAGGGCTCATGAAGACCTGGGTGAAAATCCTGCCTCTGCCCCTGACTGGCTGTGTGTCTGTGGGCAGGTGTCTCTACCTCTCTGGTTATCTATAGAATGGGGCAGTAGTGACTCAAGGGTTGCTGTGAGGATGAAGAAAAGGTGCATCCAGAACTGTGCTTGGTATTTCAGGGGCCACTATCACTGGGGAGAAGAAGGGGGGGGGGGATTGTGAGTGGCAGGAGCAGGGGCAGGGCAAGTGGAAGAGGGAGTCCTCTCCCAGGAAGCCCTCCTTCGTTCATCAGTCTCCCTCACCCCTCACACAGCTTCCTGATTGGAGAAGACGGGCTCGTGTATGAGGGCCGGGGCTGGAAGATCAAGGGTGACCACAGCGGTCCCACCTGGAACCCCAGAGCCATCGGCATCACCTTCATGGGCAACTTCATGGGTGAGTGGCTGTCCCGCCGGTCAGGACAGGGCGCCATGGCCCGGGCCCGGCGGGGGCACAGCATGGTGTGTAGTTAAGAGGCTCTGCCACCCACAAGCTCTGTGACTGCTTTTCTGAGTCTCACTTCCTCCTTTTTGGATAATGAGAACTTTCAACCACAAGGTTCGGATGAGGATTGGCTAATCTATGTAAAAGTTCTTAGGCCAGGCCCTGCCACCTAAGAAGTGCTTGACAAGATCACTGTGTTGGCCAGGACCCGAAGGCCTAGACCCGTGGTCGGCAAACTGCAGCTCACGAGCCGCATGCGGCTCTTTGGTCCCTTGTGTGTGGCTCTTCCACAAAATACCACGTGCGGGCACACGTACACTGCGATTGAAACTTCGTGGCCCCTGCGTAGAGGTCGGTTTTCGGCCTGGGCGAGTCTATTTTGAAGAAGTGGTGTTGATATTTGGCTCTGTTGACTAATGAGTTTGCCGACCACTGGCCTCGGGACCCAGGAGGAGAATGACAATGATCCTGACAGCCAGCACCTGCTGGGCCAGGCGCCATTCCGAGGGCTTTACACACACTAACTCGTCTTACGGTCCCATAGCTCTGTGGCAGGTGCCACTATTCTCTCCTTTCACAGATGGGGAAACTGAGGCACAGAGAGGTTAGGTCACTGATGGGGAGTGGCAGACCGGGTTTTGGGATCTAGCGGGCAAAGCTGGGCGTGCACAAGCGGAACCACTACCCTCACTACCTCTGCCCTTCGAGGAAACCCCAGCTTAAATCCTGCCTCTGCCCCCACAGAGCGGTCGCCCCATCCCCGGGCCATCCGGGCGGCCAAGAGTCTGCTGGCTTGCGGAGTGGCTCGGGGAGCTCTGATTCCCAACTATGAGGTCAAAGGACATCGGGATGTGCAGCAGACGCTCTCTCCAGGCGACCGGCTCTACGATATCATCCAGGAGTGGCCACACTACAGGGAGTGAGGCCCTGACCATCTCTATCCCCAGTCAGAAGCCCCTGGCCTTCCCCTCCAATAAAAGTGCAACTCAAACTGTGCTCCTGTGTCCACCACACGCCCCCCCTCCCCGCCTCCCTCCCACAAAGACCTCAGCCACTCTCACCACCGCCCAGCACGCTGTCCTCGCTGGTACTCGGATCCCAGAGGCCCCAACCTGAACCATCACCCGAGAGATCCCAACTCAGAGCAGCATCACAGCTCAGAGCCCAGAGTTCTCAGGTCAGCGCGCAGGGGTCAACACCAAGCCGCCCAGAT